CATCGCGCATCCACAGCCACTTTGCACATTTACTGGCAGCACTCGCTTAGCCAAGTAGGGGAAAAAAAGCGGGTAACAAAAGTTTTTGACAGCGCAACATGCAAAAACAAATTAGCGAAGCCGTCAAACTGTCAATTATCGGGCAATTAGTTGGACGCGATTAAGTACATAGTTACAAAGGCTTTACATTGGCTCTGGCCATTAAGCAATTCGTTATACTATACTTATTAAAGAATTGCGGCTCGCAGCAATTAATATTTTTTTAAATTTACCATATTTTTTGTTTAAAAATCTTGCTAAAGAATAATTTTTACTTCTTAATACTATTATCAAGCTGGCTTGAGGTTGACTACTTGACTATCGAGTCCCTTTCTCAAAGTCTTAACTTGCTGAGAATTGCAAGCGTCAAGCAACAAAAAAATGGCAAAGCAAGAAAAGTTGCAAAAATTCATTGTTTATATAAAATGAAAGAGTTTGAGATAATTATAAAGGACCTGCGTTTCTTGCCTCGGTCCCAAGCTGAGTCTTTTGATGAGATTCGCTAAGAAGAGTCCTCTCTTCTCAGGCACATCTGAATTAAAAGAATCTATAGATATTGGTTCTTTTTTATAATAATAGTAATAATAGTCAGTTTACGTAGATTCTCCAAAACCCTCTTCAGTCTTGTCATGCGACTTAAATTGAGAGTAATTTAGCAGAATTTGTCCACATTTACAGACATTTTAATTACATTTGTTTCTCCAGAAAAAGAAAATGCATTCATATTAATTGCATTCAAATAAGAAGCTGAATCACGAGCAAAATTATATCGAACCGAGAGGCTTCTAATATGCAGCGTACCTGTACACAACTTTATTCGTTAAAATTGATATGCGAAAATTGTATGTGAAGTTTTTATGTGCCTATAGAACAGGCTCCAGTAGAGGAGCCTTGACGCAGGCATAGGAGCGTTTATGTTGGCATGCAAAGCACACTTAACTGCAAGCGAACAAACAGGCCAGGACATTGTGTGGCATGCAATGACAGGATATGCAGAATTTAGCAGAGACAATGCAGTTGGGTTTGGGTTAGTGCTTCTGATTGCGTTTGTTTGTTCGGCCGCCTGCAAGCCGCAATATGCGAATTGGAAATTATGAGCTATATCATTGCCAGTTGGCAGTGGCAGTGTGAGGCTCGAGCTGAGTATATGCTTGTTGGCAGCATTTGGCATTTCTCATACGCTCCGTGCTCCCAATATGCAATGTTGCGTGTCTTTCCGGCCCCGACTACTATGTCACTTCCGTACTCCATACTTCGTGCTGCGTCCTTTAGTGCTCTGCACTTTTGTCGATTGATGCCGCTAGCGTGTCTTTCTGTTTTGGCACCGCTCCGCTCTGAGTGATGTGATGTGAGAAGGGGCCTAATTTATGGGGCTGAGGCCGCTACCAGTTCGCTCTGCATACCAATTGGCAAATGGCAACTGTCAAAGCAGGCCGATGGGAGGACAGGAACAACAAATTCCATGGCATTGCAGTCTCGATTGCACCGTTGGGCCTAGACCTGGGCCTGGGCCATTGTGGCCGTTAATAATTTTGCTGGCTATTTAGCGCGATGCTAATTATGCAACTCCGCTCATAAATAATGTATTGCATACACCTTTACCGATGCTTTGGCGCGTCATTAATCAACGTCTATTATGCAAAAGAAACGCAGCGGCGCGCCGCCAGGAAACGGAAGTGCGGCGCAATATGCAATAACAACAACACGCAGCGTGGAAATCACGTCACATGTCACGCCCTGACGAAGGGGGGGAGGTACGCCTTGACAGTTGGACAAACTTGCATGTACGCACACATACATATATAAATAAATATGGCCACATTTTGAGAGACCGTGCGTGTGTGTGCCCGCTGAAACCTGCTGCAAACGCATTTTTTATGAAAAGAAAAAATGTTAAGCCTTTGATGACTGCAATTTCTGCGATTTCCATATTATTGACAGGTAATTTGCAATATTTGCGTGAAGGCCAGCACGCAGCTGCGTCATTAAAGCTCGACATTGTAATCAGTCATTTGCATATAACGAGCTGAAAAACGGCGCCGAAATGTATGCAAAGAGCGGCCACAAATGCATTTGCTTTATGTGTTTAACGAAAACTGTGCATTTAAATTGAATTGTTTTTCAAGTTGAAGCTGTGGAAATGCCATCAAGAAATTTAACGGCGAGTTAGCGCGCAGCAGAAAGATAAATCCTGTACCTGCTCGACATGCATATTTGATATGTCTGTTGGTCATTAAAATACGAAATTACAAACAAGTCGCCGGAGTATGGGGACCGCATGTGCCACTCAGTCGCCGCCCCAGTTGGCTGACAGGCCTGTCAAATGCCAGTACCCTCTGCCCGCATGCCCGCTCCCTTCCCGCCGTGCCGCGTTCTCCTGTCAACGGCAACAAGAAATGATAAAGCGTTCGCGTCCAGATCTCGCTGTAAGAAGTCTGCCGCAAAACAACGAAACAATTTAATTTTGCTTGCCATGTTCGCCGCAGGCTGTCCGCTGAATTTGTTTTATTAAATAAAAAATTGTACAAAGCTCAGGCACACAACACACGCACACACACACACTCACATATACATTTACACAGTGCATGCAAACGGTTGCGGGCGAAGAAAATAAAGTCAAATACTCAAAAAATGAGCAAATAAAACAAAAAGCAATGCGCTTGTCAATAAAGCTTGACTGGAAGATACCCAGCAGTTGGTGTTCAAAGTATTTGAACAAATATACAAATATGACTTCGCATTTATATTTGCATGTTTATGTTAATGTATACTGTATAAAATATATACTTGAAACATTTTTGCATTCTTTTTGTCTTTACGAATAATGCTTTTCTATATCGGGAAGTTGAGTCATATATATCCGATGGGAGATATGTAATCGGTGTTAGGTCCATATCGTATCTCTTGTTTATGTTCATCTTGAATATACATGCATACAAAAAGATATCATAGACAGAGAAGTATTCAAGGGCTAGTTACATGCACCTGCTTCTGCTAGGTTAACCTGTTTTAGAATATTTCAGCATTACAGAGTATTTTGAGCCTAACTAAGCCGTGGCACGATATGCCAACGGCTCTGAGAAGTTAGTATATATATGTTTATGTACATAAATATTTACATAAGTATAAGGCCAACAAATTTTCAAAGTCATAGTAAGCCAATTTGGTAATTTTGTTGGCGGCTTCGAATAAAGTAAATCAAATATTTCCACAATTCTCGAGTGTGCCAGCAAATACCCTACTTAAAAATTCAATCTATTTTTTTTTTTCAACAGGAAATGTTTTCAATTTCTTGCTTGAGCATCTATTAAATGCGCTCTTGTAGCTCTAATGTTTTCATAAGAAAGATTTATTTAAAATAATCTTAGCAAACTGTTATTTGATTCATAAATAATAAAATAAATTCTGCGCCGTTAGGCGTCCCATAATCCGGAATGTGTCAACAGACAGGTCCAGCTATGATTAAGACCTGAAAATAGTTATGGGCATGTGTTAGCCCACATTCGATTCTGTTTTAGCTTTGTTTATTTGTTTCTGGCTTGTGCACTGTATTTATTTTTTTGTGCTGTCCCTCGGCATGTCCTTTATTGGGCAAACTAATCATGACCCCTTTTGTGGCCGACACGTGGCCAGCAAAAACTAAAAATTATGACCACAAACGGGTAGATGGCCTCTTATGTGCGCTTGGTGATCAGGTTGCGCCCTTCTTAGCGCTTTAGCCATTCAGTTAATATGCATGCTGCCCCATAACTCGGAGCCTACTTGAGGCTGGGCTCTGGACTGAAATCCTTTATGTGCCATTTGGCGAACAGCAGCCGAACATAAACGCATTCGCCCGTTTGCTCTTTCATTTGTTGTTATTATTTTGCTCTTTTTGCTGTTTTTTTTTTAATGCTTTTTATGCCTTTGGATTTGCAGATTCGGACACTACTTAATTATGTTGTTAGTCCCTTTTATGTCACAATTTTCATTTCGCAACATCAAATAAACTAAATGTCCTAAGGGGCGGGGAACAACTTTCGCTTGGTTGATCAGTTGGGGTGTGCAAAAAAATATATATATGTCAGTCAGTATGTATGTGTGTATGTACGTATGTATGTATAATCAACTAGAACTGTTTTGGTTTTTGTTGTTATCAACCGCAATTGTCGTGGCAAGGTAAACAAAACTGCGCATTGGTTTGGGTTGCTAACTACATTGCCCATTGGCTGCAGTCCTGAGGCTCGTCTAAGGGGTTTGCCAGCGGGAGGCGGAACAAATGTGCCTATTTGTTGCCCCAGTGCCATTGTCTGTCTGTCTGTCTGTCTGTGTGTGTGTGTGAGTGGTGTGAGTGTGGCTAGTTGCTATAAAATTCTGTACGAAATGACCATTTGGACTTTTAATATGCTCGAGTAATTTCTGCATTAACAGAATTCATTTGCTGGACATGGCCAGGCCGGATGACCCCTTCCATCCCGGTCCGGTTACCCAATTCCCTGGAAAGGCAAACGGTGCGAGGCTTTAATGCGTGTCTCTGTGTGGCACAAACAAATTTATGTCTTGCTACTTGCTGAAATTGGATTTCTGGCAGCATCTAGTTACATCTGATGCTCCTCCTGCTGCTGTTGCTGCTGTTGTAGTAGTTGTCACGTTGTTGCTTTTTAGTTTAGTTTCGTGTGAGCGAGGAGAAAAAAAGAGAGAACAGAGCTCGGCAAAGGTGAGCAGGCAAACGCATTTATATCCATTGCTCAGATTACTACGTGTTATCCTTTTTCATGATTTGTACAGCACTGCACAGGACATTCGTCTCCCTTTTGTGGCCTCGAATTTGTCGTGTGTTTCTCTTTCTCTTTTTTTTATTTTATTTTTTATTTTTCTAGTTTTCAGTCCTCAATTAATAATTGCCGTCTGCAAATTAAAGTGCCTTGGACGTGTTTTGTCCATGTCTAATTTTAATATGCCAACGCTTGTCTCCATTTCAGAACGGCAAATTGCCCCGCAACCTGCCCGCATTGCGTGCCATGGAGATGGCCCTGCGCACCAACTCGTTTGCCACAACTGGAGGCGTCATACAGCCCATGGAGGAGGCCGACAATAGCGACTCGGAAATGGAGTACATGATACCGTTACACAGTGAGTAGCAACAGTATAACCCCAAGCCCAGACGCCAAACCCCAACCATTGGTCAGACAATAGCCGCTGCCCAGTGGCAAATTCAATTAAAAATTTTTGAAACTCTGCCATCTGCACGTGCGTGACAAGGTCCACGGGCTGCAGTGGCCACCCCTGCACAGCATCTTTCCAGCTTCAGGTTCAGTTTCAGGTGCTCGACCCGTGATAGTCAGCTGGCCAGTTGATTCTGTGTCGAGCGACAGGCATTTCAATTTACTTTTATGTCTCGTTGCCTTATCGCGGCGCAAATTGAAACGAAATCTTGACACAATCAGCATGCCGCAGATTCCATTCAGATTCCCACATACAATTAAGTTAAACTCCGGTCATCAATTTTCGTGACTAGCTGCGTCTCTAAGCGGCCTGCCAGCAATGCATACTCAGCTTAGCCAGCTGAGCACCTACTAGCAATGGGAAAAGTTTGTCGGCTTAATATATTTATGGCAGAAACCACAGCGCAAAAAAAGAAAAACTTTTTTTACTGTATATGCTCGACTTGAAATACTCTCTTATGAGCGCTTTATATAATCAATGCGCGCTGTGCACATATGGAAACGTTTAATATTTTAAATTTGTTTAGTTTTCGTTGATTGTTGAAAATATTTTTGGGTTGTATAACCAAAGACACAGTATTTATATTATCTTTCACTTTCACAAACATAATAAATATGTTATAAAGAAATAAATAACATAATCTTTAAAATTATAAATATGCTCTTAAACTGAAATTTGAAGCTAAAAATAGATAACGTTATAAATTGAATTGTTGCAATTGTAGAAGTACGCATTAATAATTCGTAGAAAAATGTTCAATGACCTTCATTCTTCGTTTATGTACGGTAGAAAAATTCGAATGAATGATTCTGTATTTCCATACTAACTGATTTGATTTCTGTTTTCCCGTCAATGTTCAGTTATAATTCTAAAACCGGCTTGTAAATTTCAAGAATATATAAGGATATTTAAGGCATTTTCCGAGAATGATGTTTAAAGGTGTGTGTGTAGTCTATACATTTGTTATTCGTGCACTGGGAATAGAAAAACCTGTCAACTTATTCAACAGTTTGTGTTGTTGTTGTTTTTGTTGAAGATATCAGAAACTTTAGTGCGAAACAGAAGCAAAGGAAGCTTGCAAATGACTTTAAGATCTCTTTCATGAAACTGTTTACTTATAATAATATTTTTATGATTTTATTATTGCGACCACTGCAAATGTGACTGTGTCCTGGCCGCATTTTGCAAAGATTTCCGCAAAAGTTTTTCCAACAACTTAAATTCCCTTTCTACATTTATATGTATTTATATGTATAGTAAAGTAGTTCTGCTGTCCTGCAACCGTATTATTGCGCCATTTACATTTCATTCTGTGCTCGGCAAAAATACAGCGTACAAATAATGAATATATAAATCAAAAAACTTTGTGGCGAGCCCCCAAGTGAGGGTCAAGCTGTTTAGCATATTATGCAATAAATCAATAAAATGCGCGACATAAGATGAAGGTCTCTTGGAGCTGCTTTAAATTCCGGCAAGGAAAATCTCTTAATTATGCTATGAATATACGAATGCGCCTACAGTAAAACTTTATTGACGGACTGTGTTGCTGTGTGTATCATGAACTTACCCAACATTTCAGCTTGAGGATTCCCAAAAAAAAACAAACATGAAAAAAAAAAACATTCAGTGCTGTCAACAGCTCAGCCAGCTGCAGATGAAGAGGCTGCCCTCTCAAGCCCAACGGCAGCAGCTGTTCCAATTTCTAGCATAAATAATCCACCGGCCTCGTTTTTGTGCCCGCTTTCAGCTGCACACCTCTGGCTCCCTCCGGGCGCACTTGTCAATACGAAACTGTGAGCTGCGAGGTCTCCCCGCAGGCCCGCATTTAGGTTGCTGCTACACTTGCTACACTTCCATCTGGAGCTGGCGGCTGTTGCCGTCGCACGCTGCATTTTTTCGCTCACCTGAATGTTTGTTCAGTCAGAAAGTTTTGATTTATTTACGGCGCAAGTTTTACATTTTACACGACACTCGCCTCCAATTACACGCCGCTGCCGCTGCCCGCGTCGCAGCTGAACAACCCTTTCAGGGCAGCGCTGCGCCGCGCCGCGCCGCTTCGTGTCGCTCAACTCTGCTCATTTACACATCAGCTGGCGGCGCTTGCCTCGCTTGGCAGAGGCAACAACCCTCAATGTTGCAGCAGCAGCGAAAAAAGGAAAAACAGAAATGCTTTCCTTCAGATTTTAATCGCTCACGTGAGTCCTTTGCCTCTACATGGGTAAAGGGTGAGCTGGTGTGTGTGCCTATTTGCCACTAACTATATGTGTGTGTGCGTCCTTTATATATATATATATATATGTACACACACGTGTATTAAGTCACAATGCAGTTAATATGTATGTCGCCATGTTGCTATCGTTATTGTTGTGGCCGTCAACGCTGCAGCACAACTTCGAGGACATTTGCATTTAAATGCAAAAGTGCACAGGGTCCGGCATTGCGCGGATAATAGAGCATAAGCCCCCGTGCATATCAATTGCTAATGCAACTTCATAACAATCTTATCTTGGTGGTTAACTGGGTAATTAAAGGCGGACAGGCAACCAGTAAGAGTGCTCTAATAGTGAATACCCGGCCGGCAGATACCCTGCATCTTCTACCAAAAGCGATGATTTTGTTATGCTTTTTATGGGTTAAGGGATAAAGCTCACGTTGAAAAAATACAAATTAAAAAAGTTAATTCCATCTGCTGGGATCGAGCTTGCACCCTCATCAATAATCAAATCAGTAGCCTTCGCCTCATATATTAACGCCATACTAACACTTGCGAGTTATACTCTACAGCATACAATTCAATACCAATTGCAATCCTATCTAAGGAGTTCGAAAAAGAACACTCGCATATGAATGCGATCGTTTAAAAATGTTTGGGTTTGCGTTAGCTTCCACTTAGCCAACGTTTTCTTTAATAATTTCTTTGTTTCGTAACTGATCTTGATAATCTTATTGTGAAATATTCTTATTTGCGCAAGAAAATCAGAAAACAAAATCTTAAATGTATGGCTTAATATTGTTGTGCGTTTTCAAATTAAATTTATACATATTTCATATTGCGGAATGGTGCGGGACCCAAAACAACTTAAAAAGTTGGATATATGTTCAATTTGTTGACTCTAGTTCTTCACACCTAAGAGATTTCTTGAAGAAACAGCATTTGAGTATATCATTTTGACAAGGATCAAGAATAAGTAAACTCTATGGGCTTAGAGATGCTTCCTTCTGCCTGTTACACACATTTGCACAAAACCATGTTTTCCCCTTATCATCCATTTTGAAATAAAAAATGTTCATTATGTTTATATTTGTTTTAAGCTCTGACAAAGCTAATAAGCTGGCTAGCTGTTGCGATTTGTAAAACACTGTAAATACAAAACTTTGTCTAATGCGCTTTACAACACTTATATTTGAATAGGATAAAAAGTTGATAACAAAACAGTAATTTAATTCCACAATATTTATATTTATTACTAGCAAATTTAATTAAAATTAAAATCATTAGAAAGTTGCTGATATTAGGCAAAATGTAAGATTAATTCCAATACTTGGCTAGAATCGAATAGCGATTCTCATTGATCTGTTATTAGGACCTCTACAAAAAAACTGCGAAAAGAGGGTAAGATTTGTATTTACCTTTTTTTGTTTTACTTATTTTTAATCAATTGCAAATTTCGTACACATCATCAACAATTTCTTGTGATGATTTTGGTTAGTAACATTATGGGCTGCATAAATATCTAACAAATTCTTTAGAATAGTTTTTTATTTACAGTCAAACTCTCAAGCAACAAGCTCTTTAAAGAACAGCTGCAGTTGAATCTACACTATTAAGAAAAATTTAGTTCAATGATTTCACAGGTGTTATTGCAATTTCATACTTGAAATTCATACGGAAATTTCAACTGCGGCATTGCAGTTCTGAGTTTGTGGTTATTGCACGCAAATTGTTGCCACTGAAAACTACATGGCCTGCAACTTGAATAGCACTGATTGTTTGGGCATGAGCATGAATATGCAAAGGAAGTTAAATTTCCGTTTGGGTCACGCCCCCAGCTGCAACAATCGTTATAATTGTGGAGCGAAAAATAAATGGTAAAGAATTTGTACCATTGCTCGGTGCTGAATTCCACAAACAGCGTACATGTGGGCCGATTTGATGGTCAACTTCGACTGCCCAAAGATCAAAAGTATATTACGAGACGTGCCCAAAAGCACCAAGAATTGTGCGTGTTTTTTTCCAACTATTTTGGCACTGAAATTACATTTGCATTTCCGCCTCGAGCGAACGACCTTGAAGACATTGTTGGCCAATCACGAGGCATAAAACTAACGCCGTCAGCTCCTTCGCATTACTATAGAGACCAAAACCATTAAAGCCGCCAGCCACTTCTTTAGCCACTTTCGAGCTTTGCCGCGAACATTTGCTCGCTGTCTCACCCCTGCTCCCCCACCACCGGCCGACCATGTTTCTAATACGCTTTTGGCTAAAGTAACAGTTGCTAAAATGTTTTCTATTGTTTTCACGCTCAACAAAAGGCAGACAATTAGTTTTCTTAAGCGACAAATCAAGTAGAAATTAAGTGGAGACGGGTGAAGGCAGTGGCAAAGGCGCTTAACGCGTTGCCCCACTGAATGGGGTGGCCCTGTGGTTTAAGGCGTTTGGATAAGGGCGCGCGAATGATAACAAAACAAAAGTGGATTATTGGCTCTTGAGCGCATAAACAATGGCACGCGTGTGTGTGTGTGTGAGCGCATGAGTATGCGATTGTGTGCGAGTGTGGGTGTGTTTGTTTGTCTATTATATACTTACATACTTACAATTTAACATTGTTTCTGCTGCTGCTGGTGCTGCTTTTGTTCGCAAAGCCGCTCAAAGCATTTGTTGCAAGAGTTGAGGTGCACAGTCTGTGGGATAAGGCAACAATGCAGCATCCCCGCAAACACAACATAAGTCCTTTGTGCGAAAGCCTCTTAGAGTGCAACTCTGATAAGAAGCTGCAGAATAGTCCGTGTATAACAGCTAAAAGTCCTTCGACAATGGGAAATTTGCAGCTTGGCATGCTATAAATCGCATAGTTCGAATTTAACTGGGACACAAACCATTTCGAAGCGTGGCTGTGCGCAGGCCTGAGCGTTATTAGCAACGAAGCTGGACAAGACGACGAGCAGGCAACTCGTCTGCACGCAAGGACTCGGAGCGCAGGCAGCGCGACAGCGACGCCGGCAGAATAACGGTTAGCCACAGCGGACGATGTCTTTGGCTATTTGTGAGACCGACGAGCGCGCTTCGCATTCAGTGTGAATTGTGTCCTCGTGAAGAAAGGATATTCGTTACATTGTTGTTAAGTTGTTATTATAATTTCCAAACAAACCAGCAAACAAAGCAAAGCAAACCAAAACCAAAAATAAAAAATATGTAAAAACGCCCATCTACAAACGCAACAACTTGAAGACGGAAATTCAAATACAAAGCACACAAAAACAAAATAAAAATAGATATCCAAAACAGACAAGGCAGCAGTCAACGACGCGTAAAAAATAAACAGCAAGAGCGACTGCAAGATATAAATAAATAAAAGCATAAAACGAAAATATAAAAAAAACATAAACATAAATAAACTGACAAAATAAAGTTGGCAAAAGTAAATAATAATAATTAGAACATTCACTTAATATTTAATATTACTTAAATAGTGCAAATTATTTTCAAGTTATAGTATTTAGAATATACAATAAATATTTAATTTTACGCAAAAAGTGCATATTAATTTCAAGTTTCGTTTTTTTTTTGTTTAGTTAATAATTTGTAAACAGTTTCTTTAAAATTCGGTTTTTTGTTGTGTCTTTCAGCCATTTTAAAAGTGAACTTCTGTTGAACAAATTTTGTTGCATACTTTGTGGGGCACGTAAAGTGAAGTCTTATGCATGCCTAATAATTTGTTCGTGTGTCCAATAGAAAACTGATAATGAATGATGTTGACTTAAATATAGAAATACACATACATATTTATTACAATTTGTGGCCCTTTATAGATATTTGATATTCTTGAATGCAATTTTCATAAAAATATTGTTCTTAAGTTCTCACAAAACTGTGCATCGATTTTAGTCGTATTTACATAGAGCACAACGACTTTTTGCCTGTATGTATTTGGCCGTTGCTGCTGGTGCTGGTGTTTTTTGGACATATTATGTACAACAACAACCACACACACTCACACATACATTCTGCCACTTCGGCTTATGTGCCACATAAACCGACAACGAGCAGCCAATAAATGCTTTCAGCCAGCCAACGCCGACTGCCGCCGACACAGCGCGGACACATAAAAGGCCAGTGCATTTGTGTGTATGAATCATACACACTCACACACACGCACACACACACAGGCACACTTCACTTAGATGACAGCGAATGCTGTGTGTTGTATATTTATTTTTTTTGTTTAGCAATTTTCGTACACTCGTTGCTTTTTACTGCGTCTGTGTGTGTGTGTTTCTTGGCTTTCAAAAATAAAAATATAAGTTTATATTTATACATAACATTTGTCCGTCTGCTCCGCTGTCGCACTGTCTGGGGTTTTGTGTGCGTTGCGCTATAAAAACCGGAAGCGTTAGACTGACGTCAACGCCGACTGAGGCTGCGGCAGCGCCTGATCCTGACACTTGCCAACACTTGGGGCGTACGATTTTTGGAGTTTCAGAGTTTGTGTTTTCCGGTCTCTGGCTTCTGTTGTTTTGTCTCTGGGGCGTGCGTCTCTCGCATAAAAACCAGCGCTTGTATTCAGCTGCCTTTTATTATTATTGTTATAATTTTTTTTTCTTCTTTTGCTTTGTATTGCCCTACGCGCACTTTCGCTGTCTCTCGCATAATTTTTATTTTTTTTGTTGGCTCATGCTCTGCTTTGAATGTGCTCAGAATACACAGAAGCACACCAGCAAATCGTAAAATATTAAATTTAATTTTTCAAATGATGTGTGAATGGCTTAGTCTTGATATACGATAATGCTTGTGCCCAGAATGTAATGTTTGTGCTCGGGGAACCTCATAAAACCCAAGCATAAAATGTGCTTACCATGAAGATGCTTGTGGATTCCACAGAGCAGCAGTTGTGCAGGAGAAGGCTTAATTTTAGCAGTTAATGCTTGCCAGATAATCAGATCAGTTGAATAAATATTTTGACTATAAATTATTTAAGATGTAGTTCATTAATAAAATGCATATGAATAACAAAACTTGTAGAAATAATTATAAACAATTTATTTAACCTTTGTTTTTATCAGCGTTAAAATTATATATTTAATGATTCTCTCAAAATGTATATTATATTTTTCATTAGTTACATTATTTGCTGTAGTTAGCGAATATTTTTCAATCAGGTTAAAAATATTTTTAATAGGATTAAATAAACTTTGTGTTTTAGCGAGCAACTTTAACACGAAAACCACATGAACTTGCTAAAAAAATTCTTATTGGTCTGTGATAAGTGAAGGTAAAGCTAAATTAAATTAAAAAAGTTTTTAAAAGCAAAACGGAAAATAAATGCGAGCACAAACCACAAAGAGAAACTTTTGAAATTAGTAAAATTGTAGAAATCATTTAACGCATCAAATGATTTACATATAACATTAAAGAAACCCAAAAAAAAAAAAGAACAAACAAGCAAACAAACTACAAAAACAGCAATTAAAAGTGCGGTTTCACACAAACACAAAATAAAAAAAGTATATAAATACAAATAAAAAAGAGGCTCCGAAATATATTTAGCAAAATTATAACACGATTTGATGATACACATCAACTAAGAGGCGGCACTTCATTAAACATCAAAGCGAATTGCGTCTAACCGCAAAACGTGCAACAGCAACACCACAGCAGCAACAGCAACAGCAACAACAGCAGCAGCACATTAAAGTGCCATTGAAAAAATGTTGGCAATGCCCACGCTAATGATGCCTGCAACAGCACAGATGACGCTCAGCAGTCAGCCGCTGTCGGTGGGCGCCAAGCCCTATGAGACTAAGCTGCTGGCCATACACCAGACACACCTGCAGCAGCAGCAGCAACAGGCGCCAGCTCAGCAGCAGCAGCAGGCGCAGCATCAGGTTAATGTGAAGCAGCAACAGCAGTCTTCTCAGCAAATGTCCATTGTTACCAGTCAGCAGCAGCAGCAGCATCATCCACAGTCGCAGTCGCCGCATCAGCAGCAGTCGCAGCAGCAGGCGGTTGCTGCAGCCGCTGCAGCTGCAGCAGCAGCCGCTCATCATCAGCAGCAGCAACAAGCTGCTGTCGCCGCGGCCGTCTGTGCCGCCCAGCAGCAGGCGGTGGCCGTTCAACAACAGCAGCAGCAGCAGCAACAACAGCAGCAGCAGCAATACCAAATCCACTCGCAACAGCAGTCGCCGCAGCAGGTGCTCTGCGTTTCGCCCAAGCAGGGTAAGCAAAAGATTTAAAGCAATTTGAAAAAAATATAGAAGATAAAGATAAATATCTACTATTAGCTTATTTCATGAATAGTTATTGGAATTGTAAATATAATTAGAAATTAATTGCTAAGAACGTTAAGCATAGCTACTTTATTGAGCTTTGGCCCATTTCGATTAGCTTACGAGCTATTCGAACACTTTGGGCACACTTATCGATTTGATTTTATTGCTGCCGCTGCCTGCTCAGGAATTTCACGAGTTTTACGAGTCAGGCGCAGTTCAAGTAATGCTTTTTATGATGCGTCGTAAAAGTCGGCCAAACCCATAATGGCTGTCTAATGTTATTTGGGGAGCCGCCTGCGCCAGTCAAAGTTGACTGTTTCGCTTTCGCCCTCAACTAGACAAAACTAGCCAGGTATTTCTATGTGAGATGGCACAATTATAGTGCCTATTGCTGTATGTTTACTTTTATTTATTTCTGTCGTTGTATTTTATTTGCTGTTGTTGTTGTGTTAAATCAAACAGAAATCAATTTGAAATTATTGACAATTTCCACTTTGGCATTGGTTCAACGATTTGATTTTGATTTTGTCATAGCCATTGCTAAACGAAAGGCAAACATACACTCTCACCCACACACACACACACACACACACACACACGCACACTGGGAAGCAAACAAAACTAACGTGATGTCAGGCAGTGTGAAAGGCAAAAGTAAATAGCAGAAGAAAGTCAGGCTGGGCTTGGGGGTGCGGCTCTTTGTTATTTTTTGTGCAACGCCCACAAAGTGAAAACTGCACTAAGCAAACAGCTGAACACAGTTCGCCACAGACACCCAGACAGAGCGGGAGACGAGCATGAAGAAGTAGACGAGACGCTGCCAATTGTGCCCAGCTGAAGTGGCTTGGACAACGTGGCGCATACGTAACATTTAAACGCACGTCCACACTTGACCAACTGAAAGGCCAGCCGCGAGAGAACGGGATAAAGAGAATGCAGCGAGAATTGAAAATCGAAACGAATTGAATCGAATCGAATCGAAGTTTCGACTTCTTTGCAAAAAGTTTGCTGCCGTTGCGTTGCGGCAAATTTGTTTTGAAATTTGCAACGCTCGTCGCTCGGTGCTCGGTGCTCGATGCTCGTCGCCTGTCGAGTGTCTGTTAAAATTTTCAATTGAATTCGTTGTAAGATGCAGAAACAAATTGCCAAAAAGACGGCAGACGGAATAGCAGCAGCAGCAGCAGTTGTCGTCATGCTTGCCCTTCCAAAAAGCAAACAGACAAAGGCGCATTGCAAGCGACAACAGCAACAGCAGCAACAACAACAACAACAGCAAAAACAACGAGCAAGCGTTGAATTTGGCTTATAAAGTGGCCCGGTGTCTACCTCTCTCCATGTGCGCTCGCATTGTCCTTCTTTGTTAAACTCTAAGGACGTTGACTGATGCGTTCGCCCAAGCGTTGGCACAGCTGCCAAGTAGCCGCCATTGTTGCTGTTGCTGTTGCTGCTGCTGCGGGTGCTGCTCCATCTCCTTTCCGTTTCGGTCGTCTCGTGGGCGTCTGAACTTTAAACAGGTGATCGATTTTTCGCTCTTTCTCTTTGTCACTTTAAAACCTTTGCCAAATTGAATAAAATTTAATGCGCTCGCGGGCTGCGTGCAACACCTAAATAATGTAATAAATTAATAAAATAAATAATCAAATATATTGGACATTTTCAATATATACAATTAATAACGTGTTTTGCAAATGCAACAGACTGTGCATATAAAATATTTATAAATAATATTTAATTGCTGTCATTTTTTTGTTAATGCAAATGATTTTCTGAATTTCTAACTTTTTCTCCCTTGCTCTTGATTAATGCAATATTAAACTAATATCAACATAGAAATGTATTTTATTATTTAAATTGCACTTTAAAGAGCTTAAATTAAAGCACTCAATGTCGAATACTCTGCTGCATCAGAACATATTTCTGCTCCCACTTAACCATATGATGTTTCAATATGCAGCATACTAGGTCCTGGCTATCTATTGACACACGCAGCACACCTGTGCAACGATAATGATGATGACGATGACTATTATTGGCAGGCAGCGCATTTGCCATTGCATGTCGAGTGCATTTTGTCAACCTGTTTGCCGATGAGCAAAAGCCGGGCGCTGCCAAGTCGTTGGCCATTATTGTCATTATTGAAGTCGTTAAGTACGTTTGCTGCCATTATCCTGGCCTGCTCCTTTGCCCGGCGTCTAACGAGTCTCTAACGCTCGCAGCTAAGCTTTAAATATGCCAGCATCAACTTGTGGCGCCTGGCGTCCATTTTCCACAGCATTTTTACACCATTTAGTTCTGGGCTCTTTGCTGTTGTTGTTGCTGTTGCTGGTGGTTGTGCTGCAAGTGGTCAATGGTTTTGAAAATTGAAAACCATATATCAATTGCTTAGACTAAGAGTTCGCTGGAGCAACTGGACGTAGTCTCTGTTCTTCGCTGCGCTCCTGGCTACTGTGTCAGCCATTGTCGCTTTCAGTTGTTCTCGTTGTTGTTGTTGTTGCTGTTGTCTGGCTGTCACTTTCTTTCTTTTTTTTTTATATTCTTGTCCCTCTCTCATATTATTCTTGTGCTGTTGTTGCGCTTTTCTTATGGGCTTTCATTTATTTGCTATTAACCTGTCATTGTTCATTTTTATTATTGTGTGGTTTTATGCCCGTCTGCCTGCTCAGCCCTGCCCTGCTCTGCTCTTTATGATTGTCTGCCTGCTGATGCTGCTCCTGTTGTTGTTGTTGTTGTTGTTGTTGTTATCCTTGTTGTTGCAGTTGTGTCTCGCGGCATTTTCCGGCACTTGGCAACTGTGCACATGCCTGTGTCTCTCTGTGTTATATGTGTGTGTTTGTGTTTGGGACTCTTTGTGTGCGTGCAATAAATTGTTATTATCGCCACGATGCAGCATGTCGTCGACGTCGTCGTCATCGTGGTCGTCGCCATCGTCGCCTTCTTTGCCCTTTCTGAACGTCCACATCCTCTCATGCTCCATCTGATTCTCATCTGGACGGGGCGACAGGCAATGCTAAGATTTATAACTTTTATTATTATTGGAGCTTACTCACCGTTTAATATTTGCCGCATTTATCTGGGCACGTTCAGTTTACAGTTTGCTGTCAAGCTGCTGCTGCTACTGCTGCTGCCCTGCCCTGCTTGGTTTATGACTTGAAAATCAATCATACGCCATGTTGACGGTCGAGTAAGCCTTAGCTTGCTCACCTGACACTTGCCATCATATCTTGTCGGATCGGATCTGTCGCTTAGTGTTAATTTTATAATAAGAACTGAGTGACATTCATTGATATCGACTATCACGAATCCCTTTGTAGCGCTGCCTGCTCGCTAACCGCTCTATAGATAAGGTAGTCGCGATACATATATAAGATGTATATAACGAAGCCAGTGCACGAGAAGTCCCATAAGCGCCTGATTGCCAAACACAATGATCGGAGTTCTCTCGTTCACTTCATTTTCTGGCTGTACGGAAAACATGACGATGACGGTAACCATGATGAGGTGGAGGAGACAGATTAGTATGCTCGTCGTTTCCAAGGGCCAAGTGACTGCCGTTCATTTTCTGCTTTCTGCAGCCGACAGGGTGACATACACACACACACACACATAACGGCCGACGCCTTGTTATTAAGTGAGGGGACAGCTCGAGCTACAGCTGCAGATACCCAGACAGAGGCAAAAGTTTTTACAGACCTCCAGCTGGCCATAGTTGGTCCTCTGCTAGCTACCACCGCCTGGACTCGTTTCTTTTTGTTTTTTAAATGCCAGCAAACAACAAAAGCAGCATAAGGCAGTTTAGACAGCCGGGATGAGCATACAACTACGTAGCTAATACTTTAGCAGCCGGATTAGGTTCAATTGGAGCGGGCAGCCAGGCGGAGGACATGCAGCACAACAAAAAAAAAAGTCCAAAGTCCACTAAAGCACCGTGCAGATACAGGGAGAGGGACGTAGGTGGATAGGTGAAGAGTATGGCAAAAAAAAAAAATGGAAAAGCAAAGCAGGACAACAATAAAAAGTGCTCTTGTACACAGCATTAAAGTTTAAACGTTGGTAAATTCCAACAGCTTCCGCTTAGTTGGACCGCATGGACATGGACAACGCACAGCAGAAACAATGAAGCCTGACAAGACTTTGTGGCGTATGTGTAGGAGAGGTATGGTTGTGTGTGTGTGTGTGTGTGTGTAAGTGAATGAATGAATGGCAGGTGCGTAGTTGTGTAAAAATGTTAAGGGGATTACAAAAATCGATCAAGCTGCTGGCAAAATGACCATGTTCCGTCCCGCAGCAGCCTTTAAAGTGATTATTAAAGCACGATCAGGTCTGTAAAACAGCGAAAATAAACGCAATTTTTACTTTTAAGCGTTGCGGTCAGCGCTAAAAAAAGAAAGACACAACAAGCAGGCGCCATTAAATGACAGACTGCACACACCACACACACACACACGGACACACATACTCAGGCATACGGCCGGGCAGTTGACATTGTGCCTGGCTATCCTGCGGGCCCGTCATTTTTGCAATCGTCAATTCTGATCAATATTTTATATACAAATTTTAAATGTCAGCCGGGGCACATGCATGCAAATTTATCTACGTATATTTGTTTGTCTGCGTTGGGCGCACAAAAAAATCGATGCTGCTGGCCGCTTTTTAAACCCGCGCTGCGCTCGAGGTCAACTTGGGGTCAGGCTGAGCAGCAGTAGCCGCCGCAAGAGCCGCAGCAGCCGCCGCCATCGTCGCCACCGCTGAGAGAGATGCCCTGCAGCCATTTTGACATTTGGTCGCAGTGTGCCTTTGTCTTTGGCGTTGACATTGCAACAAACCGACTCCAGCAGCAGCACCCGGTCCAGTGGTTATGCCAACTCCTGCTGGCCACATTTGCACAATGCAGCGCACATGACATTGTCATTGCTGGCTAACGCTTGGGCTTGCCCTTAGCCAGGGACA